CGGGGGAAGAGCTTGATCCTACCAACTGAGGTACTCATTACTAAATGAAATTGTAGTCTGACCTAAGTACTTTTCCCAAAATTCAAAGGAAGGCTAGATCAAGGTGTATCTTCCTCAGCTGGCCTCAGCTGACTTGCAGCAGTCAGCTCTTTTATGAATAACTGGGCAGATGTTCTTGTTGCAGAAAAATGTTAATAGGTGCAGTAAAATGACTCTGTTTAAGTTAGTGTGGGGTTTCACCATCTTCAATTAAAAAAAAAAAAAAAATAGAAGAGGAAAAAAATAGAGAGAATGACTTCTGTACTTACCCTGAAAAGAGCTGATACAGTCTGGAAAGAAGAACCCTTCTTCTTGCCTCCCTTCTTACCACCACCACTCTCTGAAGAACACACAAAAAAAGATGGTTTTACAACTTTGATTTGTAAAATTTTTCTCTAAGACAAGAAGTTTGCTCATATGTATCAGTCACGCTTAGAGAGGAGCCTAGGATGCAGTGAGAGTCAACAGTCAATCTAAAGGAATATGGGACCAAAGGTGTGTTATAACTCAAGGGACTATCATGGCTGAGTGGAAGGCCTGAAATACTTTTGGTCTTTTACTTTATTAATAAATTCAAGCCATAGGAGATTCTGCACAACATGCGGCTTCTTTAGAACACTATAGCTGATATTCATGGCTCTGGTAGAGTCATTAAATAAAAATGAAAATATGAATTTCACAGAACTGACCTGCCTCTCCTCCAGCAGAGGCAAAGAGTAAGGCCAGCGTCTTCAGGGATGATTTCTGGTACAGCCCCACAACAGTTTCATTCAGTGGGTCCTTGTTCTTGTCAAGCCAGCCAGAGATGTTGTAGTCCACCGTGCCAGCGTAGTGCACCAGGGAGAAGTGGGCCTCAGCCTTGCCTTTGGCAGGCTTGGGCTTCTGGAAGTTGTTGGACTTGCCCAGGTGCTGGTCATAGAGCTTGTTCTTGAAAGAGGTGTCAGTTGCCTTGGGGAACATGCACTCCTCTTCCAGGATGGAGAAGATGCCCATGGGCTGGGAGAAGCAAAAGGAAGGAGGAAGAGGTGGAAAGGCAGAAAGAATCACAGATAAAGGAACAGCTTCTTGAGTGGAACAGTATTAACAGTCTCAGGGATTGTTCTACTGAGAAGAGCAAATTGTAAAATAAGCTAAACTTATGTATTTACAATATCACATTTACACTTTCAAGCTACATTTATAAACATATATAAGAATTAATGCATTTCTGAAAGTATTAGACATTGTGAATTACATAAATACCTTTTCAATGAGCTCAATGCAGGCAGCCAGGTCCATCCCAAAGTCAATGAACTCCCACTCAATTCCTTCCTTCTTGTACTCCTCCTGCTCCAGCACGAACATGTGATGGTTGAAGAACTGTTGCAGTTTCTCGTTGGTGAAGTTGATGCACAGCTGCTCCAGACTGTTGAACTGCACAATTATAAGTAGAGATTACTATTGACGTAAATTTAGAAAGCCAGGGATAAAGAACAGTGCTGGCTTTTTGTACCAAATTACAGGAGGATCTGCGAGTGTTCCTTCTTTGCTCAGTCAAGAGTTTGGAACTTCTGTTAGTCTATCTCTTTTGCCAAGCTATGTGTATATTTATGACCCCTAGAAGATTTGGCCACTTCAATATTTCAGACTTGTCAGTTTTGATATCTACTAGACTGGCATAATTCAGTCATGGGAGAGTCCACAGGACAACAGTTTATCCAGCATTTCCACATGCTAATTGCAAAGCATGTCTCAATCCTTCTAAGCACAAATTGTGTCTATGGAATTGGTGTCTCTGCATTAGGTACTGAATGCCATATTAATCTACTGTTTGTAATAAGTTTAAAATCCTGCATTTATGGATTTCCATTGGCATATGTACAACACAAAAGTCTATTCCCTGTTAAAAACATTTGGGAATCATGATGCTTTAGATGCAATCTGAAAGGATCAAACCATTTCTGGGAAAAAAAAAAAAAAAGGCATCATTCCTTCTTAAGTACTTTGGCACACAACAGAATTAATTCTAAAAACATGGCAATAAAACACTGTTGTTACATCAAAGATCTCAAAGCCGGCAATGTCCAGGACACCAATAAAGTACTGTCGTGGTTGTTTGGTGTCCAGCTGTTGGTTGATGCGAATAACCATCCACAAGAACATCTTCTCAAATACAGCCTTTGCCAGGGCACCAACTGCATTGTTCACCTAAAATAAAAACAAGAAGCGTTGTAGTTATCATGGAGAGTGAAAGAGGAAGACCAGAGGATTTGTCAACAAAATGGCGAGTTTTGTTACCTGCTGCACAGTTTGACCCTTGGTCACGTATTCATTCCCAACCTTGACTCGAGGGTAACAGAGGGCCTTGAGCAGGTCTGCTGAGTTCAGACCCATCAAATAGGCAGCCTTGTCAGCAACTAAAGACAAAAAAAATCAGTTGTTTAGGTACCAGCAGACATTACTGTTTCTTTAAAACAAGTATTAAAAGGAAATTCTAGTAAATATAAGAAAAATAGTTAAGATAAAGCAATGTATTTGTAGATCATCATAAGCAATATTCCTCAGCAATTATAGAACTTTTGTGTTGGCTGTTTCTTCACCTATTCTTAGTTTATGTTGAATTTTGAGTGAAAAATTAGTATAGAGACATTTAGATAGGCAGACTTCTCAGTAATAAATACTGAAAAAGAAAAAGGAAAGTTAAGTCTGGGATCATGATCAGGTTGCAGACAATCGCAGATCCTCTCAAAATTTGTTTCAGTGACTTGTGGTAAGGTAACTTGAAAGACATACTACCCAAGAGAGTACAATAAGTAAGTGTCAATTATGCAGTTACGAACCTGCAGCTAAACATATGAGATGAAGGGCTAATTTTAGAAGTGCATTCTCAAAAAAAAAGTTTGGCATTTCATCTTCTGCTGTTGCTTTTAATATTGGATTCAGACTCTGCCAGCAGGCACAGTATGTAAAATCATATGATCAAGAATGCTTGTATAATGTATATAAAATCAAGATAAAAAAGTATAGCAGATTGCTGAATGAATATTGGAATGATCTAACAGTCTGAAATTGTGTCAAGAGATATTTAGGCTAGAAATTCGGAAAAGATTTCCAATGAATAACTATAGTGAAGTACTGGAATAGATTGCATATTTTCCTCAATGTTTTCAAAAGCAGATGAAGAAAGAATGATTCTAGAGTAAATGGAGTCCACAGGAGGTGGAGAAGGTGCCCTGCCATAGTTCTCCCCCAGCTTTATGAGCAGATAAACCTACCAAAATAAAAGCTGACTTTGCCACACTGAGAAATTTGTTCACAGGTCCAGAGTAATCCTCAGAGAAGGATCACAGTGTCTGTGCAACAGAACTGATTTCAACGGAAAGACTATTATGTACACTGCTCTGAATGCTTCCAAGATTTTGTCAGCAAAATACCATCACTTAAGTAAAGTTATATCTATAATATTTAGGGAGTGCTTTAATGTGAGAAGGCCAAAGCTCATTATAGAATATACTAATAGAATACAGA